ATATTAAAGGTGACTTGCCTACCATCCCCCAAATGCTGTAAATTTTCGTGGGTGCCAGCGAGGCTTCGTAAACATAATAATAATGGTCATAGGGTGTAGGGTTCACCTTCCAGGTGAACCACACATCTTCCAGATAAACCATACATCTTCCAGGTGAACCACGCACCTTACAGGTGACCAATACACCTTCCAGATGAACCATGCATCTTACAGGTGACCGATACACCTTCCAGGTGACCTATACACCTTCCAGATGAACCATGCATCTTACAGGTGACCTATACACCTTTCAGGTGATTTATACACCTTCCAGATGAACCACGCATCTTACAGGTGACCTATACATCTTCCAGGTGACCTATACACCTTCCAGATGAACCACGCAACTTACAGGTGACCTATACATCTTCCAGATGAACCACGCACCTTACAGGTGACCTATACACCTTCCAGGTGGCCTATACACCTTCCAGGTGACCTATACACCTTCCAGATGAACCACGCACCTTACAGGTGACCTATACACCTTCCAGGTGACCAGCACACCTTCCAGGTGACCAGCACACCTTCCAGGTGACCAGCACACCTTCCAGGTGACCAGCACACCTTCCAGGTGACCAGCACACCTTCCAGGTGACCAGCACACCTTCCAGGTGACCAGCACACCTTCCAGGTGACCAGCACACCTTCCAGGTGGCCAGCACACCTTCCAGGTGACCAATACACCTTCCAGGTGACCAATACACCTTCCAGGTGACCAGCACACCTTCCAGGTGACCAGCACACCTTCCAGGTGGCCAGCACACCTTCCAGGTGACCAATACACCTTCCAGGTGACCTATACACTTCATCTTAGTGAAGGTACGAAGCCTCATGGCTAAGCTTTCAATTACAATTTTCTCAGTTTTTTCTATACAGATACTTGAACAGTAATTATATCAAAATTCCGACATCAAAATTTAATTATCTTTGGTTATCAAATATTTAGTAAACGTTTTGCTTTCCTTGTATTTAAAGCCTAAAAAATGGCAAAAATTAGAGAAGAAACAGAGAGCGAAACGTTGCCCTTAACAAAGGCTTGTTACATCATTCTATTTGTGTTCAGTGGTATAAAACTAGTGAGTGCGGGGCGCCCACTTCCCAGTGTTTCTGCCAAGTTACTGTGTGAATCTTGTTTGGTTTTTGTGTTAATGACTAACCTGGTACACGATGGTCCTTCAGGCAGCACATTAACCATTCATTACCAGTCAAGAATATTTTATTGCCTGTGTCCGTGCCTGTGTCCTTGCCTGTGCATTGTTGTGAATAAGTACGAGTGTACTTATCCTGATCGTAGTTATATATATATATATATATATATATATATATATATATATATATATATATATATATACAAGGAATTCGCGAGAGCATGCGAAATATACACAAACACTGATCTCTGGCTGAAGGAGACTCGAACCTACGAACCTTAGGACAAGGTACGCAGTGCTTTACCAATCTACCCACACTGGACAATACCTTGGCGTGTAGCATCCGCTGCACGTTTGATCCAAGGCAGCCAGCTTTCAGGGAGAAGGCTTACAGCTTTTCATCGCATGCTCTCGCGAATTCTTTGCATTGTTCAAATCTCTAGTAAGGCTGATGCATGCAGGGAATGAGATGAAAAGCTGTAAGCCTTCTCCCTGAAAGCTGGCTTCCTTGGATCAAACGTGCAGCGGATGCTACACGCCAAGGTATTGTCCAGTGTGGGTAGATTGGTAAAAAGCACTGCGTACCTTGTCCTAAGGTTCGTAGGTTCGAGTCTCCTTCAGCCAGAGATCAGTGTTTGTATATATATATATATATATATATATATATATATATATATATATATATATATATATATATATATATATATGTTGCAGGGAACACCTCACTACAATATAATTACTTTCTATTATCCAGACACTGTTTATTCCATGAGGTTTTAGCTCTTTCCCATGATTATAATAATAATCTTCCTATGAGCAGCATCCTAACCAATAACTATATTTCTAGACATCTTAAAAACTGTTGATTATTCCCATAAAGTGTTTTTCAATAATAATAATAATAATAATAATAATAATAATAATAATAATAATAATAATAATAATAATAATAATAATAATTATCATAATTACAGTGATAATATATAATCCTTCAAAAATAAAAAAATCTTCAGAAAATTAGTGTAGGCCTAACACTGGCCCTAAGACTAGACCTAAGACTGGACCCAAAACTAAAACTAGGCCTAAAATTAGGCACAGGGTTTTATCAACAAGGTAAGTCATATTATTTTCGAGTCCAAGTGACCAGACCTTCACTACCTTAAAGTGAAAGCTATGTTTTTTTTTTTTTTTAGCCAGTACAAGGTGTGTGGGGAAGCCCAGTAGCTGCTGGTTGAGCCCGTGAGGGTCACCAGCACCCTCACTATATACCTCAAGAGGGAGCCTTGCAAGGCTTTGAATTAGATCAAGATTTCTCCTGGATTTTGAATTTACACTTTGACATTATTGTTAATTTGATTGATAATAATAATAATAATAATAATAATAATAATAATAATAATAATAATAATAATAATAATAATAATAACAGCAATAATTTTATACTTGATTTGTGGGTGCTTGTGTGTACTAATCTATATGTGGTTGCAGGGGTCGAGTCACAGCTCCTGGTCCCGCCTCTTCGCTGGCTACTACGAGGTCTACTTTCTCCCTGTTCCAAGAGCTTTACTGTACTCCTTCTTAAAGCTGTGTATGGATCCTGCCTCCACTAAATCACTCTCCACTGGCTGAAGAAATACTCGTGTGTGTGTGTGTGTGTGTGTGTGTGTGTGTGTGTGTGTGTGTAGTTGTGGTTGCAGGGCTCGATTCATAGTTCCTGGCCCCTGTGTGTGTATGTGTGTACTCACCTAGTTATGGTTGAAGGGTCGAATCACAGCTCCTGGCCCCTGTGTGTATGTGTGGAGGGCACCCCAGAACCAGAGAGGAAAACAGTATTTTAAAATTAAATAACTCATTTCGACTCTCAACTGAGTCGTCATCAGCAGAGTAACAATAAAAGTGGAGAATAACATGTGTCTCTAATATAAATTAATAATTTATTAATACACATTATTATATTACTAACTATAAATTAATAATTTATTAATACACATTATTATATTACTAACTATAAATTAATAATTTAATTAATGTAAATTAATATTTTAATAATTAGTTAATTAATGATATAAATTAATAATCAAATGGTTATAACCATGACCATAATTTTTATAGGGGTGGAGGGGTAAGCCAGTGGAAGGCCTCGGTCAGATGACCAAAAGCTCCAGTTATGGGTCATTATATTACTAAGACACGTGTCAGGAAATACTTGTCCTGTTTCCTGACAAACCTTACCTAACCTAACCTCACCTTGCGTAACCTTACCTAACCTAACCTTACCTTACCTTACCTAACCTTACCTAATCTTACCTAACCTTACCTTACCTAACCTTACCTAATCTTACCTAACCTTACCTTACCTAACCTTACCTTACCTAACCTTACTTTACCTAACCTTACCTAACCTTACCTTACCTAACCTTACCTTACCTATTCTACCTTACCTTACCTTACCTTACCTTACCTTACCTTACTACTTACTACCTTACCTTACCTTACCTTACCTTACCTTACCTTACCTTTACCTTACCTTACCTTACCTTACCTTACCTTTACCTTTACCTTACCTTACCTTTACCTTACCTTTACCTTACCTTACCTTACCTTACCTTAACCTTACCTTACCTTACCTTACCTTTACCTTACCTTACCTTACCTTACCTTACCTTACCTTACCTTACCTTACCTTACCTAACCTTACCTTACCTTACCTTACCTAACCTTACCTTACCTTACCTTACCTTACCTTACCTAACCTTACCTTACCTTACCTTACCTAACCTTACCTTACCTTACCTTACCTTACCTAACCTTACCTTACCTTACCTTACCTTACCTTACCTAACCTTACCTTACCTTACCTTACCTAACCTTACCTTACCTTACCTTACCTTACCTAACCTTACCTTACCTTACCTTACCTTACCTTACCTTACCTAACCTTACCTTACCTTACCTTACCTTACCTAACCTTACCTTACCTTACCTTACCTTACCTAACCTTACCTTACCTTACCTTACCTTACCTTACCTTACCTAACCTTACCTTACCTTACCTTACCTTACCTTACCTAACCTTACCTTACCTTACCTTACCTAACCTTACCTTACCTTACCTTACCTTACCTTACCTTAACCTTACCTTACCTTACCTAACCTTACCTTACCTCACCTTACCTTACCTTACCTTACCTTACCTAACCTTACCTTACCTTACCTTACCTTACCTTACCTAACCTTACCTTACTTACCTTACCTTACCTTACTTACCTATACCTTACCTTACCTTACCTTACCTTACCTTACCTTACCTTACCTTACCTTACCTTACCTAACCTTACCTTACCTTACCTTACCTTACCTTACCTAACCTTACCTTACCTTACCTTACCTTACCTTACCTTACCTTACCTTACCTTACCTAACCTTACCTTACCTTACCTTACCTAACCTCTCACAAATCACAAACACATATAGACTAACGTCCACTTTTCAACATATTTTAATTAAGAATATCGCACCAACTTACCTAATTAATATGAAAATAGAATACAGAATACACAATAAACAATAGGGATCAGTACACGAACTTCTTGACCTATATACATAAAATCCCTTACATAAATTATGCAAATAATAATATTCATTATCTTAAGGTATTTAGAAACCCTTGAATTTTCTAACCATTAATTAAAAAAATTTAAGTTTATTTGGTTAATAAACATCTTTTTAATGTCAGAAATATCAGCAACTAGCAACCTTTGCCGAAGGTGATGGGTATATAAAGGGGAGAGAGAGTCGAGTATTGTTGTACTGGGTCACTGCTTGTTACACACACACGTACTGAAGGTGAGGTGCTCCTGCTACTGCTGCTGTTGTTGCTGTTACTGCTGCTTTTGCTGCTGCTGCTGTTTCCTCTCATATCTCCCTCCCTGAGAGAAACAGTATTATCCCACTCAATCTCTCTCTCTCTCTCTCTCTCTCTCTCTCTCATCTCTTTTTCTCCTTTTGTTACCACTGCCTTGCAATATATATATCTCGGCCGTTTCCCACCATGGCAGAGTGAACCAGAAAAGAAAAAACACTTCCATCACTCACTCCACCACTGTCTCGCCAGGGGTGTGCCGGCACTACAGTTCGAAAACTGAAACATACCTCCACCCATCCTTCAGAGTGCAGGCACCGTACAGCCTACGTGTGGTTCGCAAAATATGAACATTTGACAGCATATTGCAAGATGTATGAGCTGGCTCAGACAGGTTTCGGTGGCTGTGTTGGCATGCCTAGCTGCTGATAACAACAGCCTGGTTGACCAGGTAGTGAACAGTCAAGAGGTCCGTATACAAAGTCACAAAATTAGTATTTATGGTGGACTGTTCTAATTATCTTTGACTCGCTGGCCTTCACCTCCTAAGGCAGAGTGACCCAGAAAAGAGAAAACATTCACCATTGTACGGTCAATGTAGCTGTATATGAATACTTTCTTCTTTGGTCAGGGGCACCTGGAGATTACTGCTGTCATTCATGCGATGGCTGTCTTGTCAGAGGATTGCTGACATCATAGTTCAGATGACCTTCCCAACAGCAACATCCTCACCCATCCTTCAGAGTGCAGGCACTGTACTTCCCACCTCCAGGACTGTAACATCCTCACCCATCCTTCAGAGTGCAGGCACTGTACTTCCCACCTCCAGGACTGTAACATCCTCATCCATCCTTCAGAGTGCAGGCACTGTACTTCCCACCTCCAGGACTGTAACATCCTCACTCATCCTTCAGAGTGCAGGCACTGTACTTCCCACCTCCAGGACTGTAACATCCTCACTCATCCTTCAGAGTGCAGGCACTGTACTTCCCACCTCCAGGACTGTAACATCCTCACTCATCCTTCAGAGTGCAGGCACTGTACTTCCCACCTCCAGGACTGTAACATCCTCACCCATCCTTAAGAGTGCAGGCACTGTACTTCCCACCTCCAGGACTCAAGTCAGGCTAACTGACTCCATTAAATCCCTTTATAAATGATACCTTGATCACACGCCAACAGCACGTCAAATCCTAAGAAAGCAATTGTCTCCACTCCGATCTAACACGATCATTAGGAAAAGCTAAACTCGAAAGTGTGCTGTGAAGATTTAATTCACACAAGGGAAAGTTAGCTCATATTCTTTGGATCAAGAACCCTTCACGAGTATCAAGGTGCCTTCCTTGATAAAATGCATCATAAGCAGCATTACAACAAAAAAACGGGATTTTATGTTTCCACAATACCGTGGCCAACATAATTCGCAATTAACTCATAATTCGGAGGCTGAAACAATTCACAAGTGTCCCACAGTACCGTGGGATAGTACCGTGTCTGGAACAATTCACAACTTGTCCACAATACCGTGACTGGAACAATTCACAACTTGTCCACAATACCATGACTGGAACAATTCACAACTTGTCCACAATACCATGACTGGAACAATTCACAACTTGTCCACAATACCATGACTGGAACAATTCACAACTTGTCCACAATACCGTGACTGGAACAATTCACAACTTGTCCACAATACCATGACTGGAACAATTCACAACTTGTCCACAATACCATGACTGGAACAATTCACAACTTGTCCACAATACCATGACTGGAACAATTCACAACTTGTCCACAATACCATGACTGGAACAATTCACAACTTGTCCACAATACCATGACTGGAACAATTCACAACTTGTCCACAATACCATGCCTGGAACAATTCACAACTTGTCCACAATACCATGACTGGAACAATTCACAACTTGTCCACAATACCATGACTGGAACAATTCACAACTTGTCCACAATACCATGACTGGAACAATTCACAACTTGTCCACAATACCGTGTCTGGAACAATTCACAACTAACTTACAAACCGAAAAGAAAACATTTAACAATGTTTCGGTCACTTCTGGACCATTATCAAGTGAGTAATGAGATTTAAATACTTATTTAAATGCTTCATGTTAAGGGCAAAACCCACCTGAGTCATTAATCGCCCAAAACGTCTTGAAGACTTGATCCTCCGTCTGCTGGGTGCGAGACGGACGAGAGAACTGAGAGAGAGAGAGAAAAGAGAATTACAATGAACTTCAGAATTTGTTTCCTTTCTATTTCAAGTGGTCACTTGATATGTTATCTTATAACTTACTTTAGTTTATCAAGTTGATAATGTAAGGGTTTTCCGGTTAGCTTATATTCATTTCCATTTATTATTTTTAACTCTTATGGTCATTTTTAAGGTAAATAAACATGATTTTTACTATATCTTGCAGATGCGCGCTGTAGTTTTTGTGTTTGTGGTGTTGGTGGTGACTCTGGCTTCCGCCAGACCTGAGAAGGTTGCTGCTGCTGGTGCTGCTGGCGAACCCAACCAGAGGTTCTTTATACCCAACGTGGTAAGCTCTCTACAAGGAGCCATCAATGGCTTCTTGAACCCGTTCAACAAACCCGGCTTCGCCGGCAAACCGGGTCTCTTCGGCGGAGGATACGGAGGTGCACCAGGTCTCTTCGGCGGACCTGGCCTCTTCGGCGGAGGATACAATGGAGTACCTGGCCTCTTCGGAGGTAGCGGCTTGGATGGTCTTAACTTCAACAAAGGAGGTGGCTACAATGGATATTTCCCTGGAAGCTATGGCGGCTATGGGCAGGGTGCCTATGGACCTGGCTATGGCTACACCAATTTCTACGGATAGTGGCGTCGACTCTCTCCCAAAATACTTCCCATATAGTCACTCAACAATTATTTATTTAAAAACAATACATTTCTTCACCATTTGTCATTTTTTGAAGTCTATCGCAGTAATTTATGCACTATATTTCAATAAAATTTAATGAATATTCAAACGTTTTGTATTTTCAAACTGCCTTTTTTTATGAATTTTCTCACCTTTCTGCCAACTAGATGTTTTGCGCAGTAGTTTGGGGTACGGGTGTGGAACACGGGTATTGAATGTTGCAGTGAGAGGGAGGCAGGGGGCAGTGATGTCGATTTTGATGGCAACGTATGGTGTAAATATTATGCATACAAAAGTATTATTGAGGAGTAGGAGAGGGTTAGGTTAGGTAAGATTTGTCAGGAAACAGGATAAGCACTTCCTGGCGCCGGTCTTAGTCATATTGTGACTCACAGCTGGACCGAGGCCTTCCGCCGGCATACCAGTGTACCCTTTAAAGTTTTTGATGTAGTTTGGGCATTTAGAGAGGTTAGAAAAGAACAGGATGACTAAATGGATATATCAATCTACCGGTGGGAAGAAGGATAGGTAAGGATCGTCCCAGACAGGGTTAGAGAGGGTGTGCAGAAATGCCTTACACTTATAGTACGGTTTGGTATCCTTACACCGGACGTCTCTTCCTGGCTGCGCCTCACCCTGCTTAGGCCTCAGTTTCTTTGCACCTCCCTCCTGTACTAACCTATAATGGGGTTGCAGGGGTCGAATCACAGCTTCCGGCCCCTCCTCTTCACTGGTCGCTACTAGATCCGCTCTCACCCTGCTCC